TTTCCATCTCTGTTGCCCAGCCTTAGTTCAGGTATGACTCTCTCTTGTCTGGATTATTGCCATAGTCTCCTAACTGCAGAGTAATTTTAAAACATTCATCAACTGGCATGGCACAGACACTGACCAACCAGAATGACACCAGTCGTAGCGATGGTCCAGCACACTGGTCCTTGTCAGCTGTCTTTTATCCCTAGCCTAATTGGCCTCCTCGCCTCCAATATCCACTTGCTCCAATCCATAATCCACACTGTAATTTTTCTATGGCATAAAGTGGATCGTGTCACTCCTTGACTCAAGTTCTTTTAATAGTTTTCCATTACCTACAGCATAGTCCTATGGATGAAGACTAAACGCTCTGGCACGATGAACAACGTCCTTTAGGACCTACTCCCCACCTAGTTCTTAAAGTTTTCAATCTCATCACAGTCTCACATTCAGTGCCCTACAGCCACTCTGAACTTCTTGCAGTTTGGTGAATGCACCATAAGCTCTTCGAGATTCAGGTCTGCGGTGGACAAGTCAAGTGGCATATCTGGAATAGGAATGGAATGTACATTCCCCCCAGAGGACCCCATTTCTGGTTCTGGAATGATACCTGAGCATCAGGAGAATCCACAGAAGTTCCAGGGCCAAGGGACAAAGTGACCTACCTAACAGGATACCAGCCACAGATCTTTTTTTATTCCTCACTTCCTTCTCATTTTGAGTTTCCTATGTTTATTAAACAGCCGGTCACTGTATATTATGGACACACTCCATCATTCTTTTTGGATTAGCTGACTGACAAGATAGTCCCTAAAGAGTGGATTCTCAAAGTGATACTGTTTCCTATCATTTGTGACAGATCAGCTACCTCTCTCACATGCCAAGGCAGGGCTGCCTCTAGGGATCAGAATTCAGTCTCTTATTTGCTCATTTAACAAGTATTCGTGGGGCATCTCAGGCACTGGGCTCTGAGCTCCACATCCAGGATGGTGACAGATAAGGGCCCTGTTCTTTATGAGCCTTCAATTTAAAGTGGACCACAAATGAATACAAATTACAAGGACACAAACAGAGGCCAGCTAAAGAGACTAGGTGGGAAATCTGCACGATCGGAGGTCAGCAAAGTCATCCCTGAGTAGATGCTACTTAAACTGTGGCCTGAAGGCTGAGAAGGCACCAGGCAAAGACCCAGGGGAGGCACAGTCTACGCAGAGGGCCGTTCAACACGGAAAAAAGCAAAACCACAGTGGCTTTCTCAGAATAGTGCTTAGAGATAGCATCTCGTCCACTTATGCAAGGAGCACAATTTATGTGTTCCTTGCAGATCTCTATACCCTTGTAAAAGAAATCAGATAGTCCTATTATGAGTGTGCTTGTGAATAGTCTGGTGGAAAAATCGTGCTCAGAATCACATTCTCCTAAATGTGCTTTGTGAATTTCCCTTTACTTGCCTTTTTCATGATGGCCTTCCCCTCTGCAGTGCTCACTGCCAACCTCTACTGCAACATTTCTGCCATCCTTTGAAGGCCCCATGGAACCTTCTCTGACCACTCCAGCTCTCTGTGATCTCTGTGATCGCCATCTTCTCTGAGCTCCGACAGCGCTTCCATCTTCCTGTATGAGCTATTTTCTATAAATTATTTCCTTCCAGAGGCATGTGTCTTGTTCTCTTCCTATGATCTAAAAATAAGCATCACGTCTGTGTCCAGCCTCAGTGTCTGATGGATCAGCCTTTAACATTTGTTCAATTTTGCAGTTTCAAATCTAAGTAGACTACTCACCTACCCTAAAAAGTCCAACACTGGATGTAGGATCATTGAGTTTTTATGAAGGGATTTGACCAGATGGATACATAAATAAATACATACAGAAAAATGGCCTAAGGTCGTACAAATTTCCTCTTCCAGGTAAGCACCTCAGAACACTTTCCATGTAAGCAAAAGACAATAGTAAGATTTCCTCAACCAGAATTCGGGGACTCGCAGCTATGAGAAAATCCCCAAACTTAAGAATAAGTCCCAAACTCAATTTTTTCCACTTCAATCAAACAAACAAACAAAAACAAACAAACAAAAAAGAGGCCGGGCTTCCCTGGTGGCGCAGTGGTTAAGAATCCGCCTGCCAATGCAGGGGACACGGGTTCGAGCCCTTGTCTGGGAAGATCCCACATGCCGCGGAGCAACCAAGCCCGTGCGCCACAGCTACTGAGCCTGCGCTCTAGAGTCCGTGAGCCATAACTACTGAGCCTGCGCTATAGAGACCGCGAGCCACAACTACTAAGCCTGTGAGCCACAACTACTGAAGCCCGCGTGCCTAGAGCCTGTGCTCCGCAACAAGAGAAGCCACCGCAATGAGAAGCCCGCGCACAGCAAACGAAGAGTAGCCCCGCTCGCCGCAACTAGAGAAAGTCCGTGCGCAGCAACAAAGACCCAGTGCAGCCAAAAATAAAGTAAATAAAATAGGTAATTTTTTTAAAAAAAGGCCAAGTTCCAATTATTTTTACAGTACAAAAATTTTATTTTTTGTTAGGATAATTTAAAGTTTAAAACTGAAGTAGACATATTCATTTTACAAACAAGATATTCTTTCATAAGTAAGACCATTAAAAACAGTAAACAAAAAAGCTGTCTTTACAAAAAGCTCTGTGCATAGCAACTTTATACTGTATATAACTGACAAAGCAAAACGATAAAATGAAACTATACAGTTTGAAAATGAGACCTTACTGTACAAAAGGTAGAGAAGGGGATGGTTTTTAAACCATGCATATTGAAATGTGCAAAGAAAAACTGGGGGAAAATACGATGATATAACAAAAAATGAGATAAATAATGAAGTAAATTGTCCCTTTAAGTGAAAAATCTTAACACAGCTCCTTTTACAAAGATAGGATAGAATTTGTAGTTACCTATAGAAATACTTATTCCAAGTGGCACAAAAATAACCTGGGACCGGAATGATTTAACAGCAATGACTAAAGAGGACAGAGTAGCTTTGTTTTTAATTTATTAGTACACTAAAAATCATCCTTACACACATTTGTACACTTAAATAGATCTGTCACTGCTGAGGTTCTAGCTGAATGGTCAAGGATGTCTGGTATTTAGTTACACACATTTTTCGGTGTAAAGCTACCAAGAAATTCTACAATCATTTTGAAGACAGTACTGCACTCATCTTCATGCAAGAGCAAACTTCACAGACTCTAAAAGCAATGCTACTTAAAAAAAAAAACATTTCCTTACGTTGGATTGGCTCAAATCCAGGTCTAAACATGCTTAATTTTGTTCTGCTTTCACGTTTGGATGGTGATGTTTGTCACCCACACTCTTCCTCTCCCATCAGATTTTTCAGTGGGGAAAGTTCTCTTGTGTGTTTCCCTGTTTTTTTTTTTGGTGCTTTAAGCCCTGACTAGGAGGGACAGGGACGGTC